GCTTCACTGAGTTACGCAAGCCCCTTCGCCACGACAAGGCAGTGATCCATGAAGGGGGACATTACTTTTGTCTTCATACTATTTAGCAGCAATCCAAATTTTTCACTTTTAATTTTTGTTTTCATAATGAGCTCTTCTAAGTTGTCCTTACCACTAGAACTGTATTTCTCAACCTTGGCCATTTTAAAATGTGTGGACTTCAACTCCCAGAATTCCTCAGCTAGCCTTGCTGGCTAGGGAATTCTGGGAGTTGAAGTCCACACATATTAAAGGTGCCAATGTTGAGAAACACTACTCTAGAATGTCTTTACCAGAAGCTCCTGCACCCACAACTCTCTGGTCCATGCCCACTAGGTTAAGGTGGTGTCCTCTGAGGGTGCGGGCACTAAAAGTGGTCCACAAACAGCTCTTGCATACACCAGGCTAGTTCAGATTTTCTCCCCCTCTCTTTTTCCATCTTCCTTTCAGAAGTAAAATGGGACAGCTTAAACAGCTGCAGTCAAATCCTTAGATCACCCAGCAAGCTATCAATAGATCCTGATCTACCATGTGCCTACCCCAAATCTAGGCTGCATGATACTAGAGCTATAAATTGATTCACCCTAGAACTGTTGGGGCATCTAGAGCTGTGGTTTAATTTCTAAGTAGATTTGTTCCATGAGAGCCAGCTTGGTTAGTGGTTAAGGCACCAGGCTAGAAACCAAGAGACTGGGAATTCTAGTCCTGCTTTAGGCACGAAGCCAGTTGGGTGACCTTGGGCCAGTCACTCTCTCTCAGCCCCAGGAAGAAGGCAATGGCAAACCACTTCTGAAATCTTGCCTAGTAAACTGCAGGGACTTGTCCAGGCAGTCACACAGACTCAAAGGCACTAAAAAAAAACAAAAAACCCCCCCTCCATGATGCAGTTTTAAAGACTACTAAGGCTTCCAGGAGAGGAATTTTACAAGATGACATGCTCACAAGGATCCCGTTCTAAAAATTATTCCAAGATAAGAGTTTATAGGAGGAAATCTGAGGTTAGAAATCTTGCTTTCTGCAATTCACCATGCCCTATTGCACTGCTCCTATATAGTCGTGAAGATCTGGATGAATTCTTTCCATAACATTACACAATAATAATTAAGCACTGGAAAGAAGGCTGCAGTGGTACTAAAAAATAAAAAGTGGACTACCCCTGGCCGCATATCCATCAATGATTTTGTAAGAGGCTCGAACTTAAGCACGATTTTGTAAGAGGCTCGAACTTAAGTACAGAGCCAGCTAACGAGCAATCCTCACACTTCGGGGCCAGAACACAAAATCAGGGCTAGGAGGGAAGTGAAATGGGGTTTTCATGTTCGTTCCTCTTCCACCCCTGTGCGTGGGGTCTGCGTGTGTTGTGTCTCTGTATGTGGCAAAAGGTTCTGAGCCCAGTTCTCGCCCTGCGCAAGGGTGTGCGCAAGAGTTTTAGGGAATAGTCAGGCGTGAGGTTTTGGGGGCGGTGGGGGAGCGCGAGTCCTGGCGGCGGTGGCGGCTGGAAGCGGTTAGGGGGTGGGTTGGGAGGCCTCAGCCAATGATACGGAGGGCCGCTCTCAGCTGGCAGGCATTTAAATGGCAGCTAGCGCGCTGCGTTCCCAAGTCAGAGGCAGGAGCCGAGCGCCTTACGCGGGAAGAGGAGCGGCGAAGCTTCGGTGGCCGTCGCCCCCATAGGTGAGGGGATAGTGGGAAGGGTCCCGGCTTGGGCTTTGCAAGAGGGGGGCAAGGCACCGCATCGCAGAGTAGGAGGGACGAGCCTTACGCTGGTTTTTAGAGGAGGGCAACCGCGTTACTTGCGACGTGATCCCGGGATTTGTTCTCGGAAGGAGAGTGGAGGAACGCGGAGAGAATTGAAGCGCATTCTTGGCAGTTGTAAACCAACCTCTGTGTAAGACCCACGTAGCTTAACGGGGTTTGTTTCTAGAGGTAGCTATAGGATTTTCGCCTATGGCTCGGACGGGAAAGACTTACTGTAATTGGGAATCAGGCCTTTGAAAGTAATAGATTTATACCTGGTGTAAAATAGGCTCTTCTTTTCTTGAGTACTAGGTGGAAGTTTTCAAACTGAGGCTCATGCACGCGAACCCCTCGGGAGAAGAACCTTGCTGGTTTTATCCCAGGGTAGCGCCACTGGGGAGCCTGACGGGGTTTTAGGAAATGCTCTTCGGTGATTGTTGACTCGAGAGCAAGGGCTATTCCAGCTAAAGTAAACGCGCGCTGCGTGGCAGGAAATTTTTCCGTCTCTGGCCGACACAGTTCCCGCGCTCTGCAGTTTGGGGATGGTCGGTCGGCAGCCGCCGCCCCCGCCCCATCGAGCTTCGCTGGGCTGTTCTCAACGCGGTGCTAGCTCCGGCAGGCTTCCGAGCCCGCGCGCTTCACCCTGCGCCTTCCCTGCAGCTTGCCCATTTACGAGGAAGACGCAACGCCCCGTAAACTCTGCCCTGAACAAATCCAGCGATTTGTTTTAAATCTGGCGTCTTCCGCGTCTCAAAAAGTGTTACTCTGCACGCTGGCAATTGAATTAATAAACCGGCAGCTTGATTATGTAAATCGCCTAACGTTGTTTACACTAGACTAGCGCTTGCGGTAGAGTCGTGATGGGAGTAAGTTGCCGGGAGGAAGGCGGTGGGTGGCTAGTGTAGCCAAAGTGGGAGATCTGAGTAAAATATCTCGAAATAGGCCCTTTACGGAGCATTGCAAGCTAAAAACTTGATTTCCAATAATTACGTTCAGGGAGTAGTCGTCATGGGTAGTTGCGTAAAACTTTCCTGCTGTAGGCTGTTTACAGCCGTGACAATCCCTGGTTCGCTAGGTAGACGCCGGGGGAATGAGAAGCTTCGCACAGGAGTCTCCGCGCATCTGCTTTCGACGCCGGTTAGCCAGCGATAAGCTGTCGATGTTGCAGATGTGGGAATTTGATAGATTTCATTTGCCGATACAGCAGCGCTCCCTAGAAAGGTCGGAGGGAAGACCATTTAGACAGGAGTATCCCTTTTGCCGACCCAAGGGAGTAGCTATTCCCGCAGGCTGGCCTTCGATTTTGCAGGGCTTGTCCTAGATCAGTGTTTCTCAGCCTTGGCAACTTTAAGATGGGTGGACTTAAACTCCAAGAATTCCTCAGCCAGCAAGAAATAATTAGTAGTGAAGAAATAATTGCAAAAATTAACTCCATGTTGCCATCACCTGGTCATCTGGATTTTGCACCCCAGTTTGGATAACCCTAGATAACTCATTGTCAGCACCTTTTTAAAAAAAATCACTGTAACAAGGGTTGCTGGGTACAGTACTACTGTACTGTGGAAAGGCTTGGAGGATTCTGTGTTGCCTCATCCACTCCAATATAGCACAGGCGATAGAATCCCAAGTGGAGCAGAATGATTGGTGTGTTTGGATTAAGACTTCTTGAAAAAAGATAGATGTATAGCGCCCTTTAGTTAGAAAAGAAGCACTAGCAACCTTCTATATGGAGAGACTCTCCTAGGCCCAGGTTTGGATCCAAGGCTTCTCTGGAAAACTCTTGCAGATTCTAGGGTAAGGGGTTGGGTGAGTTTGCAAATTTAATGCCCCATAAATAATACAGAGTTTGACAGGAATGATAGACTCCATGGAGCTCAAAATCAAGATTCAAGAGGATGTTGATGCATTAGAACATTGAACAAAACTAAGCAAGAGGAATTTCAACAGAGACAAATGTGAAGCCCTACTTTTGGCTGGGGAAAAATTAGTATGTAGGGGGAACCATACTAGGCAACAGTACAGGCAAAAAGGATCTGAACATCTTGGTGGATCTAAACATGAACCAATAGCATGATCCAGCTGAATAAAAAAGCACATGTAATCTTTTCGTCACTATAGTGTAGTGCAGAGGTCAAGAGAAGTCATCATTACTTCCTGTTCTGCACTGGTAGACTGCTCTTGGAATATTGCATTAGTTCTGATCACTGCAATTTAGAGGAGACATTGAGAAATGGGTGTGTCCAAAGAAGAGTAACCAAGACGATAAGGAGCTTGGAAAGAAAAACTCATGAGGAATGTTTGGAGGTGTTGGATATGTTTAGCGTGGAAAAAAGACTATAGGGAAATATGATAGGTATCTTAAAGTATCTGATAGCTGCCCTCCAGAAGATGAGGTAGATGCCAAAACAGTAAACTGTGGGTTCAAATTGCAGGTTAGTAAATTTTGGTTGAACATCAGAAAAAACATTTGAGAGTAAGAGTGGTTCAACCATCGGAGATTGGGAGGTGGTGGACTCTCCTTCACTGGAAATGATCAGACAGAGGCTGGATGGCCATCTTTTGAGGATGCTGTAATAGTGGACTCTTGTACTAGGACTAGATGATCTGAAAGATATCTTTGAGCATTTACATTCTTTTATGTCTATTTCCGTCTTTTAAAGCCAATATAATATAAGTGTTGAACTTGGATTGAGGGGACCCAGAATCAAGTTTCTGTCATATCACAGTGTTCACTGGTGATCTTGGATTAGTTATTCTCTCTTTCATCCTAACCTATCTCATACAATTGCTACTGGAATAAAATTGGGGGAGAACTCTAAGCTGACTTGACCTCTCAGAGGAAAGATGAGATTTAAATAATTTCCTTGATAAATGAATTAGAGTCCAAAGAGTATACCAATTGAATGAGTTTCCATAGGCTACATTAAAATGCCTATATAGCATTCTATAATATTTATTGTGGAGAGCCAGTTTGGTATAGTGGTTAAGGCACCAGGCTAGAATCGGGGAGACTGTGAGTTCTAGTCCCACCTTGGGCACAAAGCCAGCTGGGTGACCTTAGGCCAGTCACTCTCTCTCAGCCCTAGGATGGAGGCAAGGAAAACCCTTGCCAAGAAAACTATAGGCACTTGCCCAGGCAGTTGTCAGGAGACAACATTGACTTGAAGGTACCAAAACAAAATAAAACAAAAAACACCCCCCCGCCCCTTTATTAGGTATTGTCCCACAGCAGAAGGGGAATCTTTATGCATGCTTATAATTTAATGTGGAATCAAGACCTTAAATTCTTTGCTCTCTTGGTAGAATGTTAGAGTTTCAGTAGATTTTTTTAAAGCTTCAGCCAGTCTTTCTGCTAAGAAATATAAACTCTTCTTTTATGACACTGTAGTCTCCCCACTCCATGTCCACAGGACAGATCTGTGACTGAGATTTGTAAATCAGTTCATGTTGAGTCTGTCTGCAAGAGGATGTAGGCATTAACAACCACCCTTTAGGATTCTTCTCTATGAGAAGTTATGACTCTTTAATTAAAAAGGAAAAGTTGAAAGAAGGAACAAGACTGCAGGCTTACAAGGATAGTACTATGGAACCCAAAAACATGCAATTGTGACCATGCCCTTATTGTGTTTGACTCTGCTTTGTATCTCAGCATGCTGTTGCTAGTTTATCAATTGTTCTGGAGAACTTTAATGTGTTTTAATTTTTACTGTGCTGAATAATTTATTATTTTTAGGCTTTTCAATATTCAGTTATTCATAATGAATAGTCTACTGAAAAATTATCTGACAGTTATAAATCCTTGTTTATTTAATTGTATCCTACTCTTTTATACATAGGGAAGAACAAAAAAGATAAAAAAAATTTTCTCTAAAATGTGTGTGTGTGTATGTATATATATAAATAAATAAGGCATTTTAGGGAAAAGGACCAGAAGGCAGCAGTGCCAAGTAACAGCAACATTAGGAAGAAGGAGTATGAGAAGCTGGAGAAGTACCAGGGCCTGAAGGAGGAACTAG